AAAAAAAAAAAGCAATTGAGAAGGATAACTCTCTTGCTCAGCCCATTCTCACCACGTGATACCCTGGTCACCATGGGATCCTGTAGAGAGTCCCTCCAAGAAGGCCCTCACCAGATGTGTTCCCTGAACCTTGGACTTCCCAGCCTCCAAAACGGTAAGAAATAAATTTCATTTCTTTATAAGTTACCAAGTTTCAGGTGTTCTGTTATAAGCAGCAGACACAGACTAATACAATTTCCTAGGCCAGTTACCAAAAAGGAAAAGAAAAACCTCCTGTAGTGTGACTGTTTTTCCTTATGGGAAGCCCATTTGGATAACCTGAAAGTGGAACCTGATAAAAAAGGTATTTTGAATGTAATCAGACACAGGAAGAAAGTGTCCAAGGTTATGAGAGTACCAATTAAAGCATATGAAGAAAATCTATGAGTACAAAATCAAATTATACTGGAGGAAAAACATTGCTTTTCTAGACATTTCAACTGTCAGATGATAACAGCAGAGTTAGCTGATAAAAGAGAGAGTTATCTTTCAAGATCTTTGCAAGGGTAGAAGAGGGGAAACTGCAGGCATTTGTGACCTGTAAGTCACGTACAGTGAGATACAACAAAAGCTGAACTTCTGAGATATGAATCTGGGAAGCTTCAAGAGGAAGATTCCACCTCAAGAAAGGAAATTAGCATTCTGAATGAAGAAAACAGCATTTACAACTTGAAAAAAGGGAGATTAAATGAATCTCAGGAAGAAATAAGACAAAAATAGAAACTGTGGTTTTGAAGATGACTGTTAAAGAAACAGATTTTTAAATTAGAAATCAAGGCCTGGCCAGTTAGCTCAGTTGGTTAGAGCGCAGTGTTGATAACACCAAAGTCAAGGGTTGGGATCTCTGTACCAGCCAGCTGCCAAAAAAAAAAAGTTAGTACATAAGATGTTTTCTCATACAAAATTATTCTCGTTTCTTTTTAACCTTCTTTACCAAAGCCACATTTTCATATTTATTTTTATTTTTATTTTATTTTTTTCTTTAAAAGATGACTAGTAATGGGATCTCAACCCTTGGCTTGGTGTTGTCAGCACCACGCTCAGCCTCAGAGTCTCTCACAGGCTGCAGTCAAGGTGTCAGCCAAGGCTGGGGTCTCATCTGAANGTTTCTTGTGGGAGGGTGCCTCCCAACAGTGGGGCAAGAGGTGAGGCCGGGCGGACCCAACCAGGCCCTCTCTTGAGCCATTCCCTGGACATTCCTCTCCTCGGCCGCCAGAGCTGAGGGCCCCTCAAGTTTCCTTCCCGAAGTCTTGCTTTTCCTCGGCCTCCCTCGGGCCCTCCACAAGATCTCAGGGTTTATCCTCCCTCACCCCCACGCTGGATCCTCAGGGCCAGATATTTTTTTTTTTAATAAAGAAAAACGACATTTATTGCTTACAGTTTCTGAGGCTGGGAAGTCCAAAGTCCATCTGGTGGTGGCAGCAGTGATCCAGATGGTGGAAGCAAAGAGAGAGAGAGAGAGAGAGAGAGAGAGAGACTCTTCTCTTCTTTTAAAGCCCTCACAACCGCACCCCTGACCACCATTTTTAATCCATTCACTATCACACTGTCCTACAACCCAATCACTTCTTCAAGGCCCCACCTTACCATTACCATAATAGGATTTCCCACCCTCTTAACAGTCA